AACTCGGCTTGGTGGCCCTTCCATTGCCATTTTCGAAATGCGCTTTGACGATATGGGAGACACAAGTTGAGCAAAGCTTTCCCAAGATCCAACACATTTACAGCAAATTTCACCAAAATCTTGCTTGTTCAGTTTCTAGTTTGGCATACCAGATAGCAAAAAACGGTGAGTTGATGAATCAATGATTCACCGGAATGCAAAATGATCATTTTAGTGTGTGGTGAGTTGAGCGGTTAGGTGTTGTTCGTGATGAAGACTGCCTTCTGTTGAATAGCCTCTTTGAGAAGGCTCTTTTGGATTTGGTTTCATTGTTAGTGGCTGTGTGAACATTTCGCTGTGGCTTTGGCCCTACCACACACCCACAAATGAGCCTTTTTTTACCTTGAAGAGTCTATTTAACCCGTGGCGCTGCCTCCCTGACCGTGCCCACTCATTTCGTCAATAATGGAGGCAGGTTCCATGTCATTTACTCAGCCAACTCCGGCCGCTTGGTTTTTTGTCCACTTTCTTATAAAAGCGCCATGAACAGTCTTCACCAAGGTCACTGAGACGACGGTATTTTGTTGATCTGTGGCGTCCAGTTAAAAAAATCAAGTGAAAATCTGCCATCGTTGGCTTTTATTGATTTTGATCGTTGCTATAGATAAGAGCATAAGCATAAACTATCTAAATTCTACCAAAAAATGCCAAATCTTTGCTATTTGATTACATATAACACTAACTGACAGGGAAGCAAACATTCTAAGAGGCTCTACCTTGGTTAATTGAAATTTTCTGTTTTTTCTTCGAATTCGATTGTTTCGTTCTGAGTCACCATCTCGACATTTCAAATCGACCGCGCACGAATATCATGCTCTCATCTCATTGGTCTATTCTTACTATGGGCGTGCCAGTTGGCATTTTGGCTGTCAAGGCCACCTAAAACAAACAAAATTTGCCAAACAATGCGAAAGTCAAAGGTGTTTGTACTAGTTTTACTGTTGAGAGAATTCTTGTACCGTAATCAAACACCATTCCTTCAAAATATTAACTGCTTAAAGTGCCTTTTAACTTCACAAAATCTCTCCGTGACACCTCAATCAAACCGAAGTGAGTAGATTGGGGGGCTGAGGTAGATTTCAGTGTCAAGTTAAGCGCTCACAAGCCTTCCCTAATCCCACTTGATCACGGAAGTGTGGAAAATCGAGTAAGAAATTGAATCAAGGGGTGGTACACCTGGAACGGAGGCACGTGTCAAATGCGTGGATGCGAAATTGTCATTTCCGTAACTAACTCAACCAGTCGTCTAACTGTGGCAATGGGATTCGTGCGCATGTTGAACAGGAAGTGCGCTTTGCCGATAAATTGTGTCTGATGACAGAGAATGCAGACCGTTCAGCTTCTGACTTTTGCCGTATAAAAACGCTACTTTTAAATGTATAAGTAGACACGTGCTATAGTTTGATGAAATATTGATGAGAGAGATGATGAGAAAACCACGTCTACAAACGCACGTCATTTTGGTGAAATTCGCGACACCTGACCACGTGAATTTAAATGATATTTGGGCCCGCGAACTTTAAGATTGGGGATCAAAAATCTCGGATACCTAATGGGGATACCCTGATGCATCTAAAAGTAAAATTTGCCTTCAGTGACGTCGAGAAGCTAGATTGGAATTAAAATTTCGTATTCCCCGATTATAACATCCATCTTGTAAACTTGTGACTAAAATTGAATCGGTGCCGTCAAATAATTTACAGCCTCTAAGCACATCTACACAGGACTAATAAAAAAAACCCATGGAATGTTGACTTTACAGTCAGGAATGCAGCCGTGTTAACCAATGCAATGCTTATGAATTTAAAGTTAGTGAACATCAAATGCTAATAGCTGCGTGGTTTTTTCATTTACTTCTTCGTGAGCAAAAGTAAGACGAGGTGTAACATTTGTCACATTATTTTCGCCTAATTCCCTGCTTTTACTTCACAGGTTTTGTTGGAGAACTACTTAAAATGGGCGATAGTGGTAATGTAGACTGCCCAAACCCAAGTAATTGTAAGGTTGCTACAACAGACAAGGCTTTATTGACCAATCACAAGGCAGGACCACAGGGAAGGTGCCGTCCACCTGAGTCCACTACGCTTACCACGCCGCTCAATATTTGCTGCACCCCATTCATGTCCTACATTCATCTTCCTCGCATGCCATTGGAACGCAGAGAGACACAGGGTTGGCTAAGACCTGCGTCGTCCAATATGTCTGCGCCCTCAGACATCGCTACTGTAGAATACCTGAGTCCAAATAGGAAATAGACTTGTACAACAGAAGAGGCTTTATTGACCAATCACAAGCCAGAGTCACACCTCAGGCGCCTTCCATCCGAGTCCACCACTCTGGCAACACTGTTCATTATATACTGCTCTTCATTCGTCTCTTTCTCTGGTTGGCTGCCTATCCTCCTCGCATGTCATTGGAACACAGAGAGATAGAGAATTGGCTGAAGCCATCGTCGTCCAATATGTCTGCGCCCCCAGACGTCGCCACAATTTATTGTACGTATTTACTGTCTAACATTTACTATACATTCTACTTATTGTCGGAATATATTTACAGTTCAAGATAACAGCAATATAAATTCACTTTGCCTGGTTAACTTAACTCTTCATGGATTTCGGGGCTTAAATTCACTATTGCTAATGCACGCTGACTGAAATCCTATGCTTTAAAATAATTAAACGAAAATATGTCATAACGAGTTTAGTTCAGTCAAGAACTCTGCAAATTGTTTTAATTGTTTCTAATCAAATTTTTCAACTTTTTTATTAAGGTGTGTCATTCGAAATCCCGGTGTGTTCCTTGAAACCCTCCGTGGCCAACCGACCTAAGTTGACGAAGCCCGGCTAAAAAAGGTACCATGTATCGCCAGTATTTTGATTCAATTTCCCCAGCCAATAGTCGGAAGCCTTTGCTTGGCACTTCGAATTAGCAAAGATTATATTGTTATGTATTTGCCAAGGGTTTGAGCACTCGATATGGTCAAAACGGTAGTCGCGCGGTATGCTCGGATATTAGCAATAATATATCTCTGGTCATTCTGAGATCGATAATGAGTGTGTAGATGATCATAGTGGCGGTCGAGAGGAAACGATGTTAACAGAACCTGAGTGATTTGACATCAAAAATCACTGGGTTACTTAACTCGTTTCATGGAATATCGACAGTCGCATCAGAAGGAGAGATGATTGCAGATACCATGAAGTTTAACAGTTTTAGTAATGCAAAGTATCGGGATTGTGCAGTGTAATAATTCAGCAGTTTATTTAGGATTACTTAACATCGACCTTTGAAAGAACATGGCTACGTTAAAATGCATACAAGCTAATCGCCTGAATTTGTGGCCATTAGTAGACAGATCACACTTCAAATAATTTTTTTGCAAATTATTATCCTCGATTCTCAGCTGACGGGAGAATAATCAAAAATAGAGATGAATTGAACATAATTACAAAAATTAACATTTGTTCTTGCAGTTTGCATGCCTAAAAATCTAGCATAAAATATTTAAAATAGTTACACACGTCAGCACACTACAAAGAGCATTCGGGTTTCTATCATTGTCCATGTCTGACGAGGCCACCTTTACATGAAGGTGTCTGATCATTCATGTGTTACTCGGCTACGCATTATGTGGGCGTATTGCTTTATTTAGTAGCAGTTTTCCAAATCTACATTGATTGCTAATAAACCAGACATATACCTAAAACGATTGGGTGAGATCGCTCAAATAAAGAAAGAGAAAAAGCCTGCGAGGTCCCCAGCATCACAGGGAGTTCTAAATCATTATTTTGCATAACACAATCCAAAAAACCTACTAACAGCACAAACTTAAAAAAATACAATTCCTGTAGAATGACAACTGCTATGATGTGTATTGCGTGGATACTTTATCAACGCATTTTGCAAGAACTTGGAATTGCAACTCAAAGGCAATTAAAAATAGCGTCAAGAAATCGAAAAATTGCTAAATCAAGAAAATCGTCACATATAATGTTTGGGAGGATTTATATAAATCAATTCGCATCAACAAATTGAGGTTTGCGTTTGAATTCCATATTAAGAAGATATCCACCCTTTCTTAATTGACAGAAATTAACCATTATTTGTGCACTTAAAAAACAGCAGTAACGTACTATAACACGGAAAAGGTAATAAACCTCTAATTTTTGTAGTTTAAAAAGAGTTTTTATCATTCAGTTTAGTTGAACGCATACATGCTTCTAAAATTAACATATGGGGCTCTTATAAGACATATGACAATAAACAGCCAAAATTAGCCTTACCTAGATGTCTGCAAATCATGCTTATGCCATAAACTTAACCCTGGTGTATATCTCTATAAAATACATCAAATTATTCGTCCTAACTTTTGTTTGTATTCACGATGACGCATGCGGTCATTTCAAAGAACCATCGTCAGCTGTTTTGCTGAAGAATGGGAGAGCTGCCTCGACGTCAGGTCCGTGAACTGCAAACTCGGATAGTGAATTCTTTATACCCCATTGCGGCTCGCTACAATGCACTTTTACCTACATGTTTTATGCAGTATAAGAAAAACTCGAATTCTCGCCAATTGGAAGAAACCCTTAAGTTGAAAGGCAAGTGACTGTTTCTTATTCCCAAAGTGTGATTTTGTTGCTAATAATTCAACTTATTGATTGGTTAAACCTCAAGGCACTATCTGGTTACCGTAAACAGGCGTTTTTGTTGTCGTATTTTAATTAATATCTGAAGGAAATCTTTAACCCAATTCCTGTATTGTGTATACTACTTTAGTCCGATTGACTGCGAACAAAGTGGTGCTTCCCAATTGATTGTATTTTTGAAGTTTACTTAGTACCATATGAGTTAGTGCTGCATCCTACTTTCCCCGTCACAATTTATTATACTATCATTGCTGGATTTTAATGCTCCCTCACCGGAAAAAGAGACTTAAAGCATCTTTATGCTAATTACGCCCATTTAAGAAAAATTTTAACTACGCCAAAAATTACGATCTTGTTTTTTTTTCAGATGTTCGCCCGCCTTCTCATAAGGATCCAACTGTTTTAAGAGTGGTCACTGACCACCCTATTCCACTTTGCTGCAGTTTGTACTATTATGAAGTGAATGTGTGTGCGAAGAGTCAGTGTGGGCAAGTTCCTCGTTTTACGTAACTTTATACTTGTGCAAACGTACTGATCACTATGATTTACTTTCACGTATTTTATTTTAGAACACTCAAAATCGGGTTTACCATCGACGAACAACCAACAAAACATCGTAGTAAGTTTAGCGTCATAGTCTATTAACTTTAATTATAAAACCTGTGGTTCTGAGATGTCTAATTTAAGCACACTTCAGTCCAACCGACGCATGCGTTTTTAACACACGCATCTGTGGTACTCATTTTATCCACAAATAATCCAGCACGCTTTGAAATTGCCAGTCTTTTGTAGTGGTAACTTTATACAAACAAGCAAAATGTTTCCCACCGTTACCCGCGTCACGGGAAATGCTTTTGTCTTTTACTTATCGTCGATCCATTGCGCTTGTTTTCAAACTAATTTTCTAGCGCTTTTGCGATCACATTTGACCCTTTTGTTTAACCAACACTTTTAAAAATATGCCGTCATTTTACACAACTAGGTTTTATTGGTTTGTATGTGGAGCCGGTAAACTATTTTCATTAATTTAAATGATAGACACAAGTGCTGAAGGCAGGCACACGTTGTGCAACCTGTGTGAGGCAATTACTTCTTGAAGAGTTCCTGCTAATAACTCTTGCTGCATATTAAATTACCGTGTGCTCATATTTCCTGGTTGGTTGATTGACTGGGCACCCTATCAATATCTTAATTTCAAATAAAATTGCTACTCTGGTACTTCTGTGACTGTTGCAAGCTTATATAAGTCCTTTAAAATGATTTATTTTTGCTGTTTCTGAACAGATTGTGTCACTTTCATTGGCTACAACAGCAACACAGGTCGAATTAGCTTGTACAACCGTTCTAACACGTCGAGTGACGACGAGGACAGCCTATGTGGACCGACATTTGGTGAGGGCGACGTCATTGGCTGTGGCCTTAATTTCGTCAGCAATTCAGTCTTTTTCACCAGGAATGGGATTATCGTCTGCAGTTCTAGCGTTCGTCAAAAACTGGTAAGCTCGATTGCCTATCTGTTGAGTTGTTTCAGCGTCTCTGGGGCTGCTACATGTCAAAACTGACCCGTCCGATCGTTTTCTGCTTTTAACAATATCAAAATAACAAGAATTATCATTTCTGTGTTTGAAGTGTATCTACGACAAATGTACCCTTGTGTCAAGCGTTTGGATTAAATCCTAAAAAATCTCACCCATCCATCCAGTTTCAATTTCTCGTCACACCACCACCGAATTTTTTCCTATTGTCTTCCAACCTTAAAGGTGTCCGACAAAAATGTGTCAGTTTTCTGACGGACTTGGTGTGCGCAACACAATGAGCCCTGATTTTTCGATGTTCTGCTTGAATGGCACATTCTGTTTGCCTTTATTCTGTTTTCGTAACGCCGTTTCGCCCTGTTTAAACAGCGCCAACCCGATTTAATTGTCAGTAGTAAGTCGTTGTCTCAGCCAATGCTCAACGCACTATTGCTCAAAGTTTTTCCGTGTTAAATGAGCCTCCTTTAGAGTTCAAATGAGTAAAAGCAATGGGATTTTGTCTGGTGCCTTAAATTGTAAACAGCCGTGCCAGTGCGCCCAAATCTCATCGGTCTTTTGGTCTCAGTGTCATTTTGAGAATCAGTGATCAGGCTTTGTGAGGACCAAAGGCAACCCAGTAAATTCCTAAGCAGTTTGCAGCGTTCTTGTACCATACAGTTATCACGCGGAACACGTTACAAGGGCCAGACGGCCATTAAAGGTGACAGAGGCTCTAGTTTTACCTCACGAACATTTCACACATTCACCCAAACCTTCGGCTTTGGCCTCAACTGTGCTCCAATCGGATCCATATTTGGTGCTGACGGTGGCGTTTGCTAGGTCATGTCAACGCCTGAACCGTTTTTGTTAGTGAATTTTGACTTGCGTTGGGTAATCTGGTATTGAACTACATGCAGTCTCTGCCATACTTCAGCAAATAACTTTTAAGCCTACCTCGATCCTGTGTAAAACGCTTTGCTAAACAACAGCGCCGCGTTGCCCTTGGTTACTAGGAGAGGAAGTAAAATTATCCTGGTGATTTTGCGAGTACTGTAGCGCTGTTTTCGTATTGGCTGTGCTTCATGGATTTGGAGCGTTTTAATTGAGTGGTCTGGTTTAGGAGGTTTAAAACAGCAGCCCTCTCACTCGATTCCTTCAAGTTTTTTGTCAGTATACATGGATTAGAGGTTCAGATCTAATTAGCACCCAAGTTGGCACTAGTTTTCGTTGAATTTTGTTGTAATGTACTGAGTAGCTCTCGGTTTTCGTTCATTCTGAGTCGAACTTTGTCACTCTGAGTAATTATTATTCTTCACTGCGTGGCTAAATGATTCGAGGGAAGTATTCACGACGGTCATAGGTTGTTCCAAATTAACACTGACAAGACTTGTTCACATTCATCGTCTCGACTAACGCCAGCCAAACGTTCGATCGTCTAACCAACGTCGTCAATGCGAGCAAACAGGATCTCACCAGCTGGCAAGTGGAACTCCTGCCGCACTTGTCTCGCTTCCTCCCCCCAAATACGCGTAAACGCTTTAAAGTACACGTTACCTCAAATATTACCCTGAATTGTCGATTGGCCTGTCTGTAAACTACATTTTTATCATTGGTTCACACTTATCATTTAGGGGGGGCGGGTCGTGACAGCGCGCGTGTCGACAAAGCGCAATTTTAAATCGAGCCTCCATTTCATCAACCAATGAAGGCGCGGCTCCACTTTTTGGACATTTTACGATCACGTGACCTGCCGTCAAATCTTCCCTCCTTGCACGCTTGCAGCATTTTTTGCGGCCTTGGCTATTTTAAACAACTTCGGACGTTCAATCACGCGCAATTCGGTCACACTAGCTGTTGTTACCTTGTTTGATTTTTTTTCGCATTTTCAAACTCCGCCGTTTGAAGATGTGCCGTCACACCTCGGCGAACGAAGTGGGTTCGTTAAAAAACCACTCGGTTTCTTGAAACTAACATCGCCATAGAATAGTTGAAATCTAACATTCAAGTACTACGCGTGCGAACTAACATTTACATTTGTCAAAACTCAGCTACCAAGTCGCTAGAACCGACTCCTTCATGTCGTCAGCACATGCTAATCATCGAGGTGTCCATTCGCCTTGTTGGAGTGGTGGCTTCATCTTGAAGCGGTCGCTGTACAGCGACCCAATCACGAACCATTCCTTCGCGTTTTCGGAAAGTCGGACCTCGAACTGTTTTTGCACATCATTTTGTCAATGTTAGTGGAACCCAATTGACGCAATGCGTGAATTTCGACCTTTGCAGGTGCCTTTCCATCTTTCCTTCTGCATCACATGCTCCTAACCTTGACTATAAATATTTCCGCAAAAACGGGAACTTGAGACGTCATCTCAGTAAATCGGACTCACGTAAACGCGTTACATTAGTGCCACACTCGTGATGGTGATTTTGTGGTCGAGACAAGCCTGAGTAAAACGATGGTGGTCGGTAGCTGTGTAGAGGCATCTTCTGCCTTAGCCCCTTTTCCCGCAATTATCGCTGAAATCGGAAAAAATTGCCGTTAAGAAATGTCAGGTTTTGCGTGAGTGACGCACATACACGCCCTCCTCCAACCCTTAAAAAAGCTTCCTTCTTTTGCTACATTTGTGCTTCGTGTATTCATCTGCGAAAAGGTAGGTAAAGGTGTCTGGCTGCGTGCAAAATCCTTCCCGCGACTGGATTTATCACAGCTAATTGAATATGACCTCGGCGTATTTCAGCAGACAGTAAAAACTACATCCAGGGTTGATTTGCAACTTGTGCCTAAACAATGCCTGTTAATTTATGCCACGTCCATTCACGCGAGGTAGTCGAAAATGGCTAGTCTAAAACGCAAATTGAACTCGCTTAAACAGAGTTTGTTGGGTTTCCAGTACTTTTGTCCTAATCAAGTCGAAGGTGTCCATTTTTCGCTCTGGTGATGGTCAGATGGCTTAAAGAGCACCTAGTTTTACATGGTCTCACGTCACAAGAAATGACGTTGCATTACTAATTAAGATCGCTCCTAATTCCCTTTTTTTGTTCTGCTACTGTTTGTGGCTATGCAGCGAAGTCTCGTGATCTCTTCGACATGCCGCTTGCTTAAACAATTGTGGTGGTCCATTCGTCTTTTTTTTCGCCCCTCTTTTTCGGTCTGAGATATTTTTTTATCAGCCATTTCGTGCATTCTATGTGACCTTTCGAACACTCTGACTTGCACGTTAAATTCCTCGCGGGGACGTGAAAGAAGTTTTGTGCTGGCCTTTTCAAGATTTCGCCTCTGATGAACTGTTGGACGACTAAGCGGTAGTCAGCGGAGTGGATGGATGGAACCTGCTTTGAAGCCGCCTCCTGACGCACCGATTTGTGTTTAAATTTACTCCCCTTTCAGGCGCAATCTCTAACCGCGCCGTGTGTGATGCTGGTGTCGCCGACAACCGCGTTGATCGGCAACTTCGGTCAGCGCGACTTCGCCTTCGCCATCGACCAGCATCTGGCGCAGGAGCGCTGCAACGCCGTGAGTCAGGCCATCGAGAGCAAACTCACCGCCGACCTCGCCAGCGTCAATATGCAGAGGTGAGATCGCTGTTGTGTTTTTCTTTCCATTGCACACTTCTCCTGACGTCTTGTCTGCGCTTGCGTAACTCCTGCCGTCCCACAGTCCCTAACTCATTGGTAAGGTCACAAACCTAAACATCTGAATATCTTACAAAAACTGCGAAGTTGCAGGACAGGAAACCTCATGTCTATACTCACAGTCTCACACAGATCCCACTTTCCAAATTATGGTAATAGCACTTGGTCGTCAATTCCTCGGTTTGATGCATGAAACATCACTCTCCATCATGTGTATCAATGCACACGGATGATGGCAATTTCGACTGCTCGCCAAAACTGCTTGTGGCGAGCTATTGGCATGTTTAAGTAGTGATATTTACTTACCAGTTACTACCAATACCAACGCCACTGATTGCACACCGTAACCCCCAGGTTCATTTAAATTTGTCTTGGTCTCTCAACGCCCCAATCGCATTTACTCAAGCATCCTCCTTCTTCTGTCCGATCGTTTCCTTGTGCTTCTGAGAGCTCTTTTTGTTGCGCTTTCTATGTATCCTAGTCTTTCACTATTTGATTCAACCTCTTTTGCTGATGCGGCGCTGATTGGTTAATTTGAGTGGAGTAGATTGCTATTGGTTAGCCTGAATGAAGCATTCCCTTCGTAGGAGTAAAGTGGTGGGCTTCACTGATTACAACACGACTCTTTCAATAATGTTACTTTTGGTCAGTGCTTGTTACCTCGAAGTTGTTTTGTGACGTTTCAGGGTAATTTGGCCAGTGTGAGTGTAGAAAATGGTGCGGACTTGCATAAAACACAGGACGAAGTCTCCATTGTACGAAAAGTCTATTGTTAGACGATGCGAATTTCCCCTACACCAAAGTAACCCACCAACTTGCTTGGTTTCAAGCGTTTTCATTCACAATCGAGACTGCGGCCGATTTAAACAAAATATTGCTTTTTAGGCTCTAACTTAATCATGTGCCCCCCCCCTCCCTGTATGCAGAAACACGTGATTAGTGTGGGCTGGCGGCATCTTTTGCCTGTCTTTGTAACTTTCAAACAAAGGATGTTTTGTTCCTTTGCGCACCTGCTCCGCTCAGTTCTATCCGCAACCACGTGCTTCAAATATTCCTTTGTCTGCCATCACGTGACGTTTCGGTCGGCCGTTTTTACCTTTTTGTTGGGGGTGGGGGGGATGAAGTGGTAGCGGACCCCCCTCCCCGCTACGAGTGGTCGGCTCGTTGTTTGAAATGTACGCATTGCGCCATCAGACTTTTTCCCGAGTTTCAATTCATCGCTATTCACTCCCTGGCTGTACTTTTGTCGATGGCGCTTTGACCTTGACCAGTCCAGTCCAGTCCTGCAGCGCTTAAAGTGCGAAACCGAGTGTGTAGTGTCAAGAGCGCAGTTACGTGTTCGCGCGCAACGCTCGCCAGGGTTGGTGATACCCAGGGCTGGCACGTGATGAACGCACTTGGGTATTGGTGGGCAAATTTTGACAAATTGTCCATCGAAAGATGTTACTTCTGCGCGCCATTGTTTAGGGGCGACTGGGATTTAAGCGTAGAT